CAGGGGGATCACTCGAGCCTACGAGTTCCAGACCAGCCCGGGCAACATAGCAAGATCCTGTCTATACAAAAATATTTAAAAATTAGCCAGGCATGGTGGCTTACACCTCTAGTCCTGGGTACTCAGGAGGCTGAGGCAGAAGGATTGCTTCAGCCCAGGAGTGGAATGCTGCAGTGAGCTGTGATCACACCACTGCACTCTAGCCTGGCTGACAGCAAGGCTCTGTTCCAAAAAATAAAAAATGTAAATAGGTACATTTTAAATGTGGTTTACCACAATAAAAAGAGAAAAAGAGGTGGGCACGTGGCTCACGCCTGCAATCCCAGCACTTTGGGAGACTAAGGTGGGTGGATCACGAGGTCAGGAGTTCAAGACCAGCCTGGCCAAGATGGTGAAACCCTGTCTCTACTAAAAATATACAAATTAGCAGGGCACGGTGGTGGGCGCCTGTAATCCCAGCTACTTGGGAGGCTGAGGCAGGAGAATCACTTGAACCCAGGTGGTGGAGGTTGCAGTGAGCAGAGATTGTGCCACTGCTCTACAGCCTGGGCAACAGAGCGAGATTCTGTCTCAAAAAAAAAAAAAAGAGAGAGAGAAATGGATGACATCTCCAAGTTGGGTATGAGTCAAGTCCCTCTTTGGTCCTTCCTAGCAGGTGGTGTCTGCAGCATCACTTTCTGTCTCTCCTCATGGCTGTGTTTATGACGTGGTGAGCATGTCACTCACCTAACAGGGGCACGGTGGGGCTCAGGAGGAAGGACAGCTGATGAGAGCTTTTACACTTGAGTACAGAAACAAATGCAGTTTTTCCTTTTTATCAGAAAAGTATGAGACAGTGTTTCGTGGAGGTTTGGGAATGCAGGAATAGATGTTAGCTTCGTACTCAGGGTGAAAATCCTACATTGCCTTTTCTTGTAGGATCTTGGGCTACAATCAAGAAGCAGGGTGTGGAGTTTTTCATAAAAAGGGAAGTTTTTTGTCATTGTTTTTTATGGGGACATAATCACAGTTCCTAGAACTGTCAGATGGGAGCAAACAGTTGAGAATTTCAGGCCCATTAAGGGAGAAGGTGCCTGTCTGCGAGCATGGGACAGCTTCTGATGGCCAGCCCAGGCCCAGCAAGGGGTTTCCTCAGTGACAATGGCTCCTAGACACAACTGACCAACCTCAGCACAGGAATACCCACCTCCAGTATGAAATCCAGCAAAATTAAACAGGGCGCAAGGGGAAGCAATGACACCAACTACAAACAGTCTTTAAGACTCGACACCTCAGGTCCTCCTGGGCTTCCGTTAAATACTCAAAGGAAGAAGCTGAGGGAAAAGGTCTGAAGTAACTAGAAACATTTTTCTGGTATTACCAAATATACAGAAAACAATTATGTATTTATAAATATATACATTTAAATTTGAACTGACAATCTAAACAGTAAATGGGTAACACATACTAATACATAAATTTAAATTTAAAAATTATATATATAAAACTATGGATAATAATGTATAATTATAGCTACACATAACTTTCTAAATATATATTTATATCATAATTTATGAGCATATATAATTATTTGGTAGTTATGTTTATAATATATAAATTAAATATGTAATATTAAGTTTAAAATTATTTCAGATTATATATTTAATTGTATTAAACATATGACTTATTTTTAAATTATGTTTAAAAATTACGTTATATTTAATATATCATAATCCTAATGTTATATTAATATATTAATGATTATTAATATACACATATGTTATATTAGTAAATAACATATTACATTAATATCTTTATTAAATTTATATATGAATATATTAAAATATTTAATATATTAGAGATAAATTTAAATATATAAATTTAATATATTTATGTATAATTAAATATTACAGTTATATAGTTATTTATAATTATATACATAATTATGATTTTATATGTATAATTTGCTATTGTAGTAAAACACACAATCATAGAATTTTCCATTTTGAGCATTTTTAATTGTGTAGTTTGGTGGTGGTAAGCATCGACCTCAGTGTTCAACCCTCCCCTCCATCTACTGCTGGAACTTCATTAAGAGACACACAGCTTTATTCACAAACACACAGCAGGCTGGAATACTTAATTACAACCTGCTTAAGTATGTTTTTACCCCATGCTTATGAGAAAAATGAGAAACACACTTCTTTCTGGGACACGTTCAAAAACGTTACTCAAGGCCAGGCGCGGTGGGGCTCACACCTGTAATCTCAACACTTTGGAAGGTCGAGGCAGGCGGATCAGTTGAGGCCAGCTGCTTAAGACCAGCCTGGGCAACATGGGGAAACCAGGTCTCTACTAAAAATATAAAAAATAGCCAGGCATGGTGGTGCATGCCTGTAATCCTAGCTACTCGGGAGGCTGAAATTGGAGGATCACTTGATCCCAGGAGGCCGAGGTTGCAGTGAGCCAAGATCCCACCACTGTACTCCAAAAAAAAAAAGTTATTCAAGATGAAGCCTCCCTGTTTAGATCCATCTGTTCTGTAGTGGTCCACGGTACAGTGAATTTCTTTGAAGTTTTATTCAAAAAGCACAGGTATTGTTTGAATCTTGAACCAGAGGCAGGGCTATGTCTCTGCCACCATGAATACAACTTCCCTGGGGCCAGGCCAGAAGAGAGGCACATCGGGTCAAAAGGACAAAAAAGCCCCACAAAAAACACCCTGCACTACCCATACAGGGTGAGATGCAGTTCTCTGTAAAAGCAATATATGAAGATAGTAATGAGGCATTTTCTAGGATTTTCACAAGTTCATGAAATAAAATAATTGCTACATGGTATATACTAAACCATGTTCATCCATTTAATCTGATATAGGCATCATGAATTCACTGGACTCTAATATGGTTTGTCAAACTTATAAACAAGTAAATATATAAAATATTCTATCTCTGTTTTGTTTGAATTAAACTTGCAAATAAAATGAATTACAAAGAATGTACTAATATACCATGTGCTGCCAAGAGGGGGCAGCACGGATGCTAGAAACCACTATTTAAAAACTCCTGCGCCTTTCCTATTCCATGTAAAATGCACCTAATTTCCACGTGCCTTATTTTTGGAAATGTAATACAAGAAATTCTACAGGGGAAAATCAGATGGAATTTAAATGCATCATAAAATTTTCCTAGGAAAGCCCTTTTCTAAAAGCCACCAGAGAAGAGAGTCATTTAGTGTGAAACTGCCCCTACATCAAGTTTCTCAAAAACGCAGATGGTTCTACAATGTGAGGAGTATAATTAGTGTAATTATCACCTTACCCAACCCCACCACATCAAAGAATACGAAAACAGAAGATGCTTTTCTAGGCCTGCCTGATCCAGACAGAAGCCGCTAGCCATGTGCGATACTGGGCGTCTGAAAGTAGCCTGTTTACAGAGGAACTGATGTTACTATCTAATTCTACCTTAATTGGTGTGATCTAATTGAAAAACTGACAGTGGAGTTACCGAAAATCTTTCTGAGTATTTTTCAGCAGCTTGGGCGTGTGAATTTACTTCCTATGACTGTCGATTTTGTGAATGTCAATTAAAGATCCATTGGGAGCTAAGCTATGAGGACGCTGAGGCGTAAAAATGACAGAACGGGCTGCAAGGACTTAGGGGAAAGGGTGGGAGGGGGTGAGAGATACAAGACTACACACACTGGGGCCAGGAGTGGTGGCTCACGCCCGTCATCCCAGCACTTTGGGAGGCTGAGGCAGGTGGATTACCTGAGGTCAGGAGTTCGAGACCAGCCTGGCCAACAAGGTGAAACCCCGTCTCCACTAAAAATACAAAAATCAGCCAGGGACGGTGGCAGATGCCTGTAATCCCAGATACTGGGAGGCTGAGGCTGGAGAATCACTTGAACCCAGGAGATGGAGGTTGTAGTGAGCCAAGATCACACCACTGCATTCCAGCCTGGGTCACAAGAGCAAGACTTCATCTAAAAAAGCAAACAAACAAACAAAACAAAAGGATAACCGTTTTCTCCTCAATGGAGTATATGCATGTATGGAAACATATCTATATACAATTGTTCAAGGCTGAAATGTGTCCCCTTAAACCTTATAGGTATAATAGTATAATAATATATAGCATACCTATGATACTACATAATATATAGGATAATGTATTCTACATATATAATAGCATATCATATGTATATAAAATATACTATATCGTTATATAAAATAATAGAGCATTAGATATATTTCTATTTAATATACATATACAATGGAAATATATATATCACAATAGAAATATAGATACTAGAATAAAGTAAATGCGTGTGTATGAGCAGGTATGTGTGAAATATTCCGTTTGGTTTTTTTTCTTTGGAGACAGGATCTTGCTCTTTCACTCAGGCTGGAGTGCAGTGGTGTGATCACGGCTCACCGCAGCCTCAACTTCCTAGGCTCAAATGATCCTCCAACCTCAGCCTTACAAGTAGGTGGGACTACAGGGATGCACCACCATGCCAAACCTTTTTTTTTTTTTTTTCTGTAGAGGCGGGGTCTCACTATGTTGTCTAGACTGGCCTCAAACTCCTGGGCTCAAGTGATTCTCCCACCTCAGCCTCCCAAAGTGCTGAGCCACGGCACCTGGCCTTTCATTTTAAGAGATGCTGCATCCTAATCGGTGCAGATCTATTTCATACTCGGGGTAACTCAAAGTTGGATATGATTTATTTTCTCATCATTTCAGATCAGCAATGGAAGTGTGGAGTTCCGCTTTCCTCCACAGTGGGGGTAAGGGAGAGTGAGTTTGTATCCACCGGCGCTTTGCCAGCAATCACAGCCCACCTAAAGAGAGGTGTGGGTCACACCTGGCTCTCTCAGCGCTGCTGCTCTCTCAGTGTCCCCACACGTGAGATTTAAACTCTGGTTCCCGATCTTTCCCTGCCTGACGGGCCAACAGTACCATGACTTTCTCATTGCCAAGCAGCGTAGATCCCACCGGAGTCCGCATTCCTCCTACCTGTCTACCAGCTTCTTGGCGAACCCGAAGTCCGTGAGCTTGATATGGCCATCCCTATCCAGCAGGATATTCTCCGGCTTCAAATCCCTGTAGACGATCTCCTTGGAGTGCAGGTACTCGATGGCACAGATGATCTCTGCTGAATAGAAGAGCCCCGTGGTGCTGGGGAAGCGGCCCCGGTTGCGCAGGTAGCTGAAGAGCTCGCCGCCCGGCACGTACTCCATGAGCATGTAGAGGAAGCGCTCGTCATGCCACGTCCAGAACCTATATGGACAGTACACGCTCAGGGCCCTGTCAGAGCAGAGCAGGGCACACCCCGCTTGCTGAGCGTCAGCACACGCTCAGGGCCCCATCAGAGCAGGGCAGGCTGTACACTGTGGTATATGTTGGGATACAGGTACCGCTAGACGCCAAGATGTGTGTACAGACAGAGTAATAGATGGGGACACATGTCAGGACATGGAGCACACAGATATCTGCACACCAGTGAAGGCAGATGTTAACATACAGGTATAGGCAGGTGTCAGAATGCACACATATATTAGCATCTATCCGACTTTAGAATATGGACAGAGATCAATGGTACAAATTAAGTTTAGATAGATGATATCTATATGCATAGATATTACAGTATGGATGCAGATGAATGCCATGGTATGAGTGTAGATAGATGTTAATATACACGTAAAGATGGATGTTAGAACATGAATGTAGATAGATATTACCTAGAGGTATATAGAGATGTTAGGGTATGGATGTAGATAGTTGTAGATTGGTGTTGCTCTACGTGTGTAGACAGATATTAGAATATAGGTTAAGTAGATGCTAAGATATGTGATAGATGGTAAGCTGTGCATACAGACAGATGTGAGCTGTCACTCTATGCGTAATCCATCGGTAGACAGATGCTAAGACACATGTACATGTTAAGATAGGTGTATTATCAGGTATTAGGATAAGCATATACATGGATATTAAAATATGAATTACATAGATGTTACATAGATGTTGTCTTAGTCCATTCCGGCTGCTATCACAAAAATACTATATACTTGGGGGCCTGACAAACAAGAAACACGTATTCCTCTCACTTCTGTAGGCTGGAAGTCCAAGATCGAGGTGCCCGCTGATGAAGTGTGTGGGGAGGGTGCATTCCTGAGGGAAGGGAGTCCTTGCCGTGTCCTCCCATGGATCAGGGGAACAAGCTCCCTCGGCCCCTTCACCAAGGATACTAGTGCGGCTTGCCGCCTTCACCCTCACGATCTCATCGCTTCCCTCATGGCTCCACCTTTGAATTCCATAGCTTTGGGGGTTATTGTCTCAATATATGAATTTGGAAGGGACACATTCAGACAACAACAGATGTTACAGTATGTGTATCCTGGGAAATGGATAAAGGTCTCATTGTCTTGGAATGAATGAAGAGTAAATATCATGGTCTCGTAATAAACCAGCTAACAGGGTGCTCTGGGCAGAACTATGTCCTCCCATATTCATATGCATAAGTCCAAACCCTCAGGGTCTCAGAAGGTGACTGCATTTGGAGACGGGCATATAAAGAGGTGAGTAAGGTAAAATGTGGTCACTAGAATGGGCCCTAGTCCAACAGGACTGGACTCTTTCTGAGAGGAGGACACAGACACACATGGAGGGACAACCCCGTGAGGACACAGGAAGATAGCGTCTACAGGCCAAGCAGAGAGGCCTCAGGAGGCCCTGGCCCTGTCAATACGTTCTTCTCAAAATTGTAGCCTCAAGAATTGTAAAAAAAAATGTATCAATGTTGTTTAACCCACCCAGTCTATGCTGTTATGGCAGCCCTAACTAGCTAACCTACAACACACAGATCAGAGATCACACCCGATTCAGTAACCTGGACCTATCACTAAGCCTGGGAATTAACAAGAAACTAGCAAACTGCATCCCAAACCTGCTGGGAAAAGGCAGCCCTTTTAAAACGCCCCAAATGAGGTTATTCCTAAGCACTTGCTTGTGGGAGCTTGCCCGAGGTGCTTCTCCTTACAGAGGTGTTGATTAATAGAAGAAAACGCAGCAATGACACTGAGGAAGAGAGAGGGGCAGGGAGGAAAGAAGGAACACAAGACACTGGAGTGGGTCTGTGCATTCAACATCCCAGTACAAGTTATAAATACAGTTTGCAGAGATACGCACTGATGATGAAAGAATGTTTTCACCTAAAGATGTCAGGGGAAAGAGGCAAGATTTGGAACTAAGAGCCTTGGATTTTTGTTCATTTGGGGTGTGTGTTTGTTTGCTCGTTTTTGAGACAGAGTTTTGCTCCCGCTGAGGCTGGAATGCAATGGTGCGATCTCAGCTCACTGCAACCTCCACCTCACGGGTTCAAGCAATTCTTTTGCCTAAGCCTCCCGAGTAACTGGGACTACAGGCATGCGCCACCATGCCTGGCTAATTTTTGTATTTTTAGTAGAGACGGGGCTTTACCATGTTGGCCAGACTGGTTTCGAACTCCTGACCGCAGGTGATCCACCTATCTCGGCCTCCCAAAGTGCTAGGATTCAGACGTTAGCCACAGAGCCCAACCTGTTTGTTTTTGAAACAAGTTCTTATTCTGTCTGCCAGGCCGGAGTGCAGTGGTACCATCACGGCTCATGCAGCCTCAACTTCCTGGGCTCAAGCAATCCTCCCACCTCAGCCTCCCAAGACTATGGATGCATGCCACCACACCTGGCTAATTTTTTTTATTACTATTACTATTATTTGTAGAGATGGGGTCTCACTGTGTTGCCCAGTCTAGTCTTGAACTGCAGGGCTCAAGCAATTCTCCCACCTCAGCCTCCCAAGACTATGGATGCATGCCACCACACCTGGCTAATTTTTTTTATTACTATTACTATTATTTGTAGAGATGGGGTCTCACTGTGTTGCCCAGTCTAGTCTTGAACTGCAGGGCTCAAGCAATTCTCCCGCCTCATGCTCCCAAAGTGCTGGGATTATAAACATGAGTCATCGTATCTGACCTGGGCTCTGTTTTTGGAGAGGACTTAGAAGACACCAGCAAGCCCGTGTTTCCATGAGTGCATAGCCTTCACCAGGAGAAGGCACCCAGCAGAATCAGGAGCATAAAGGTCCTTAACTGTGATCAGGATCTCATCTGATCATGACGCTATCACAGATGCTCCCTTGCAAGCTCGTTCCAATGAGCTGCACCATGCTGGTGCATAAAGGAAACAAGGCAATGCCCAGGAAACCTTCCCTGCAGACAGGGAGGGATACTCAAGGTCAACCAGATGGTGCTGTCTGCTAGCACGGGCCTTTCCACCAAAACAACACAGAATAAAGGCAAGGACGTGAGAGACAGCTTGCAATGACAGAGATTAATGCTAAGAAAAGTCATAGGCTGGGCACGGCAGCTCAATGCCTGTCAAGCCAGCGCTTTGAGAAGCCAAGGCAGGAGGATCACTTGAGGCCAGGTGTTTGAAAGCAGCATGAGTGACATAGCAAGATCCTGTCTCTACAATAAAAGAATCAGCCAGGCCTGGCGGCATCCCAGCAATTCAGGAGGCTGAGGTGGGAGGATTGCTTGGGCCCAGGAGTTGGAGGCTGCAGTGAGCTATGATCACACCACTGCACTCCAATCTGGGTGACAGAGCAAGACCCCATTTCTAAAAGAAAAAAAATGGACAGCATGCTACTATGAATTTTAAATAAACATTTATTTGACTAATCACAATGTTTATATGTATCAGCAAAATATGGAACTCTTATATAAAAGGCTCTTAACCTAATGCACTTTTAAATGTGCAGCTTCTGCAGTGCTGCTAGAGTTGGGGGAGTAGTGACCCACAAACACAGGCTGTAGGAGCCTTCCTCTCCACCCGTGCTGGGGTCCCGCCCCTCCGCGGCTGGGTGGCTGAAGGGAGCTCAGGAAGCTCAGGCTGACATTTCTTTTTCTCTTTTTCTCTCAGTTACTGAAGGCTGTGCACCTGTGTCCCACCTTGCCACTGACTTCTGACAGCTCAGCAGGCTCACAACGTGCGGTGCTAAGGCATAACGGACGCAGGGAGAGTACACAGCAGGGAGAGGGATTTTGTTGGAGTGGGTTTTTTTGTTTGTTTCTTTTTTGTTTTTGAGACAAGAGTCTTGTTCTGTCACCCAGGCTGGAATGCAATGGTGCAATCTTGGCTCACTGCAACCTCCCCCTCCCGGTTCAAGTGCCTGTCCTGCCTGCCTCAGCCTCCCAAGTAGCTGGGATTACAGGCGTGTGCCACCACAGGCGTTCTGGTTGTCTTCTATGTAGTGGTTGTTTCCTAGAGCAGCCTGTTGGCATTCTAAAGACCTGCCACATACGCACCTCCTTCCACCTCCCAGTTGCATCTATAGTTATTTTCTTGCAGCTAAATGCCCTACGTTTCTGCTTTGCACCATTCCTGGTGGGCAAGAGTATTCCTCTCAGCCATATTTCATGATACGTGCATGGTATCTCAAATGCATGACGGTCAAACTGTACTCTGTGGATGAGCTTAGAAGACAACCATGATTTCACTGTTCTGGTGGGGAAATATTTTCCAAGGTCCAAATACTATCCTACCAGTGAACTTTTACAGTAAACTTCTGTGTCAGCTGCTGACTTTCTAAACTTCTTCAGGGCACAAGGTGGAAGGGAAATTTAGCTACGACTGACCAGCCGAGGTGTGATATTGAAGATTCAGGGATTAACACTGAGCTCTTGAAAATACCATAAATGGTCAAAGCAATAGCAAGACCACTGTCTCCAACTGTGAACTGGGCTGAAGAGAAGATACACAGCTCTATCAGCTCTATTTCCCTATGGCTCAGATATGCAAGGAAAAGATGCATGCCTACACACACACACACACACACACACACACACACACAAATATGCGAGGAAAAGATGCATGCCTACACACACACAAACACACACACACACAAATATGCGAGGAAAAGATGCATGCCTACACACACACACACACACTCACACTCAAATATGCGAGGAAAAGATGCATGCCTACACACACACACACACTCAAATATGCGAGGAAAAGATGCATGCCTACACATACTCTCAAATATGCGAGGAAAAGATGCATGCCTACACACACACACACACTCACACTCAAATATGCGAGGAAAAGATGCATGCCTACACACACACACACACTCAAATATGCGAGGAAAAGATGCATGCCTACACACACATACTCTCAAATATGCGAGGAAAAGATGCATGCCTACACACACACACACACTCACACTCAAATATG